GCCCGAGCAGGTTTGGCTCAGTGGAGAGAGCATCGGCCTGCGGACTGAAGAGTCCCACGTTCAATTCCGGTTTAAGGGCATATGCTCAGGTTGTGGGCTCGATCCTTAGTAGGGGGCGTGCAGGAGGCAGCCGGCCAATGATTCTCTCTCATCATTGATGTTTCTCTCTCCCTCTCCCTTCCTCTCTGAAATCAATAAAAATATATATATTTTTAAAAATAATAATAATAAAAACAAATAAAGGGGCTCCGTGTATAGGTCTTTTTTTCTGAACACTTGGGGGGGTGTCGTCTGAATATCTTAGAAGAAAGGAGAGTTATTTTCATCCTGAACAGGCCATCCGCCTCCACTGGGGCCTGGGTTGCACCAGCCGGGATGGGGTGAGCGGACATGGTCAACCACAAAATTTCATAACCTCTTGCCTGTGGTTTCTTTGCCTCCAAAGTGGGGGGGGGGACGGTGGGAAGAGGGGGGACGCCTTTAGCTTCCCTTTTGAACCCCTAGCATTCATCTGCCCGATTTTTTTTTTTTTTACAGAAATGACGATTTTATGAAATTCGCTCACATTTTGTCGCCCTAAAGCTCCGAGGCGGCGACCAGTTCTACGTCTGCTTTTATGGGCGATGATGGTCTCGCTACAGACGTCCATTCTTGCCGCAAAAATAGAGATTTTGTGGGAGATATTGGGGGAGGGCGTCCCTCTAGATTTTGTAACTTGATATGTTTTGTTCAAAATTTGTTTTCTGCTAGAATTTTATCATACAGTCAGCAAGCCAAGATGAAAACAGATGTCGTCAAGGGTTCCTTAAGTTTTTTGCTGCTTTTTTGGGGGGTGTGTTTTTTTTTCCCTTAAGTTTTTGGGGTTTTTTATATATATATATTTTTTTTTATTATTGGTTTTTTACAGAGAGGAAGGGAGAGGGATAGAGAGTTAGAAACATCGATGAGAGAGAAACATCGATCAGCTGCCTCCTGCACACTCCCTACTCGGGATGTGCCCGCAACCAAGGTACATGCCCTTGACCGGAATCGAGCCCGGAACCCTTGAGTCCGCAGGGTGACGCTCTATCCACTGACCCACACCGGTTACGGCTGTGTTTTTTTTAATATTTTTTTATTGATTTCAAAGAGGAAGGGAAAGGGAAATAGAAACATCAACAATGACAGAGAATCATTGATCCGCTGCCTCCTGCCCA